ATGTACAAGGCCACCAGTCCTTATAAACGCAAATAGTTTTTTTTCGTTATTGTATTTAATTTAGTCGCGGTAACAAAAAAGGGAAATATTTGTTTGTATTCGTATTGCGTTTAAGAAGTATGGAAGCTTCAGACTCTGTTCGCTGGCTTCTGTAATAACACGTTAATAACAAAACTGTCAATAATAGCATTTCGCGGTAAGAGACCACAGCTCAAATACGATCGTTTAAGGTATTATTTGTTTTCATAACGCGGCTGATTTCGCCAAACCATACTTTCTACTATGTATGAGGTTTATAATTAAAAAGCAAGTTGACCACGTATCTTTCTGTACAATATCATTAAAATACCTTGTTGGCCTAGCAAGGTGTTTTGTAGAAGTTTACGTTCCAAGGAAGGCGTGACTGCGGATTCCTAGCGGATGCACACAACTGCTATTATACTGATTGGACACGAACTCCTAGCGTCATACACTACTATTTATTTTTCGTATCAGGCAAATCAAAAAGGCTTTATCAAAAAGGAATCAAAAAGGAACTTATATTTTTAATAGAACGAAAATAACCGCCAACGAGATAGGAGGCGGAGGGCGGTGAAGCTATGTATGCTGTGTGATCGTGGAATGTACCGAGTGACTAATTCTCAAGAACCTAGGTAGTCTCTCAATGTGTTTTTGCCATCTCTGCTGTTGCTAGCCGCCGTGGTTACGTCACTTCAATGGTTATAACTGCTTTTGTTGTTGTGGCCTGAATTTTGCAATAGGACCTAATCGTTAATATTTATAAACTAGTTCAAGTAAATACTGTTTTGTTATACCATCACCTGTATACATATAGCGTAACCCTGTGCGACATTTCTTTATTTATTTACCTGCCGTCTGGTATATGTTATTGGCAGCAAATAACCTCTTTGCATTCGTTATAACTTAACGTTTTTCGTCATTATCTCGTGTGCACAAAGCCACCAGTGACTACTATTGTGAAATAGTCGCTCATTCCCATTTTGGATCGTTCGTGACGTGTTGTTTTTCTCTGAACTCAGCCGAAAAGGAAGTGTTCCAAAAAAAGCCTTGTTGAATACGCCTCACCCATGCTGGGCTGTATAGCCATTCTGGTTTGCCTGTTTGTTGGCTCCTAATTCCTTTCTATGCGGTGCGAGTGTACGTCGCTTCTGGTGCTCTACACTTACTTCAAACGCAACCAACGTAGCGGTTCGGTCCTTTCTCTACTAACCGTCAAACGCTTGCTGGTGCTTCCCGATATCACGCAAGGTGAACGAAACGCCTTGGCCGACAAAAAAGTTGAAGATAAAACGGAGCGTAAGGTGATGTCTTAAGCCACGTATTCAGGGTCGGTCAAGGTCGTTCGCTTGCGAGCGTTCTTTCACGAGACTAGAGGCCCACTTCTCTCCGTTATGTTGGTGCTGTGTTTATCTTTCCCGCTAGTAGCGCTTAACCGTACATCCTGCCAGCCCAGCGTGCGTCTGTCCTAAGCATTTAGAGACCGAAGTCAAATGCAAATAAGCTGTGATACGTGTTCAGTGCGAAGACTTGCGTTACCTTGCTCTCGCTTACTGTGTCCGGCTAGTCGCCCATGTGGCATCATCTATGTGAGGTCGTGTCATGCTACATCTGACATAGATATTGATAGCTGCCAATTTTCCAAACCCCTTCTACCGGTACTGCCACTATTTTGGGGAAAGCATGCATTGGCTGGACTTAGCCAATGGACTCAACGAGAAATTCTCCTGATTTTGTACCTCAGGGGGGACTTTCGTGGGAAAATTGCAAATCAGTTACGGTTCGCATGAAGCACAGCTGATCTGTGGGCACAAACCAGTTCTGACGTATAAATGCAACTGCTGACAAATGCCAAGGATAGCTGGCGAAACAATGAGGGTAATTGTATTTATCTGCACAAGCAAGAAGCAGAAAGAGAGGAAAAACCGCTCGCCTTTCCTCCCATAAATACGACTTGTGTGATCTACATACGATGATCGATACTGTTTTATCATCGGTACTTGAAGATCATGAAGGCATTTTGAAAAAAATGCACGTATCACTTAAGTGAAGCAGAGACGCGTGGCAGAATATCTCACGTAATGTTACGTAACTCCCTTGATCTCTGAGAAGTACTAACATGAGCCTGTATAAAATCAGCCATCAATCACTAAAAATACAACGATAGCCTATCAGTCGAAATTGATTGAAAACTATGTATTTTGTTTCTAGTGCTAATAATATGATATGACAATGTTAATTTTGTCTTTTTAAGGAACTTATCTACATCTTACGGTTATAAAGTTTCACGTCATGCATAGCCGTCTACACAAAGTAACTGTTCCTGAATGAGAGTTTTTAGACGGGTTCTTATATATACATACATATATGCATCATGTGTAGCCGTATAATTCCATTGCAGGAAAAGCCTAACAAGTATAGCTGCGGCATATATAATTTTGTATGTCTGAGATTGCGTCTGAATGTGCTGCTTGAATTGCGTCTTCTTCCGGAGACGGAGACCCTTTACGTGCGATGCTCAATGTCCTTACTTCCATAATACCTGCTTGTATATTTTTGATGATGACACTGTTAGCAATCAACACATTCATCACCCCAGACTTAGCCAAGAGTCACAAAGGAAGAATATAATCAACTTGTAAGGGCAGCTATAATCAGTGAACGGAAGCTCTGGTATTTATTCATTTGAAACTGTTTCGCCGGTCCCCTACTGGATTCCTTTATCTTGCTATACACACCTACATAGGCAGAAAGGCTTTTGCATCTGTTTCCAAAAGCAAATTAGGCCTAAACTGTGTTCGCCTTCTTGAAATTTATAAGCGAACTCTGTTTTCCTGTCTAACGCTGCAGCATACCCGTCCTCCTAGCTCTTATAAATAGATTTAACAAGATACTTTATAGAGACAATTACTCTAGCTGATTTCAAGGATTTTCTTTGTTTTTCTGTGTAGCGACAGTTATTTTTTTTTCTATTTTCGGCTAATTCCACCGTATGAACAAGCATAAGCATTCCTAGATTTATCTAAGATTTTTCCTACAGACCTTTGAAACGGCCTGACCACCATATGCCATAGTACCCAATTGAAATTTGAACTAGCGATGATTGCATGTTTAGGCGTACCATGGTAACGAACTTCAGGCGATGCGCGTTAACCGTTCAGACTACGCTGTCGCATTTAACCACGCTTGTCACGTAGTGTGTGTCGGTGGTTGGGCTCCTTTTAGAGAAAGTCTTAATTGTTTAATTACCGCATCAACATAGGACAATCATCTTTTGAAATACGGACACTTGAAAAGTCTCTTGTCATGCATGAGAAAATCTTGAAGCACACTGAAACATACTGCGGTGACAGATATTTCCAATATTACAGGTCATTTAGCTACACTGTCTGCGGAAGTAGATTGTCGACTCATTAAGTAGATGGGTGCTACTCTTTCGGTTGATCAGATCCAAATACGCCAGTCGTTCTGGTCCTTTACAGACCGATCGATTAAACCGGAAGTGACCGACAAAACCGCGAGCTGTTTTGAAGGCGTACATATTGTTAATGGTGAGATACATACGGCGGTGTGAGGGCTGTGGTGCATCGCAAATTGACTCCTAGAGGCGCCGTTGGGCTACAACTGGAAATAGCCGAAAATAAGGAGCCCGTTCAACCTTGAAAACAGTCCCCAAAGATTCGCGTGACAGGACTTGATTATAGGCGAGACCTGCTTGTTTCCACTAACAGTCAGGAAAACACAGACCCATTAACCTGGAGTTAGCCCGAGACGCAAGGTCATATTAGCGGCACTTTTGTTCCGGCTTATTTGAATGAGGCTGTTCGTACTGGGTCGTATTCGACGAACATGTACGGAAGCCTTACGCTGGCAGAAAAATTCCGACTGGCTAATTGATTTGGCCTGCGCTCTAATAGGACTAGACGGCCATAGTAAAGTGTGGCCATACTAACAGATTATCAACAGATAATCGGAGGCATGCACATATAAAGGCCTAAATAATAAGTTAGCATAGCGTATGTTATTTTAATTAATAGTTATATTTTTTTCGTGTATGGATTTCGGCACAGTACATCTGTAACACTATTCGACTGTTAATAGTGAATAAAAGCGTCTCAAAGGAAACCGTAATTTCAAAAAAGGCCCGCACAAGTCTGCAATCATGATAATGTGGTCCTTTCACATGTAAAGGATCTGTACAAAAGAAAGTCATCACCAAATACAATAGGCCATCCCCAAGGAGCTAAAACAACTTTCCCTATCTAAATTATATGTACTAATCCAAAATTAATTCCGCACCGCGAAAAAGAACACGAGACAAAAAACAATCTCCGATGCATTTGGTGCGTTAGAAATCATCTCAATTAAGTGCGAAGTTGAATTCGAACTTGAGTGCCACTTCTCTGGTTGTCGCCCCTCGATAACAGTGTTCATTTAACAAATAATCGTTGATATGCTAGATCCAAAAAAAAGCTAACGGAGAAACTTCAGCTAAATATCGGTGAAAAGAAGGTTATGAGAGTGACAAAGGTGTGTGCGACAAGACGTGCTCATACTTACTAGCGTTCAAATATTAGCCAACCGGCTACGCGTTAGGTAAAACTTAATATCTCATTATTAATCATTAATACTGGCGCAAGGTAAGATATCTGCAAACACTCCGCGCATAAACCATATTGTTTTTTTCTTCTTTACTTCTCGCCAATATCTTAATGAACGTCATCATTATCCGTTAATATATCATTCATGAATGCATCATTTACTAGCAACTGGGCCGAAGCAAGTCAGCTTCAGTTACGGTACGGTAAAATCTGCTTACGTTTTAACATGCGTACGTCATTATATAATCCAGTCTAAGGTAGGCACAAACTCAATTACAAAATAGAAAAAAAAAAACACCGTAAAGTATACAATAAATGTAATTAAAGTGAACGAAAATCACAATATGAATAAATAAAACACGTGCCATTTATTGTTTTTAGGTGTGGCGTTGTCTTTGGCTGTTCTGTCTGGCGGGTTCTGGATAGGCGGTTCGCATTCATCTGCGGTCACTGTGCCAAAAGATTTGGCCGGACCCTGTGCTTCCTATGAGTGCGTATTGACCCTCTTCGTTGAACATGGACTATCAGACAATTGATTTGCGCATCTTCGGGCGATTAAGTGGATAATTAGGGCGTATCCATCATGCAAGTTCTCATCCTACTGTGTTTCCAAACCGTATTGTTCTCTGTGAACTGTTACGCCCTATTTAGTCATTGTCTTTTCTCATCATTAGCGGAAACCTGACTGTTTTTTTTTTGCCATTGTTATTCTATTTACTTACTAACTGTGCTAGCACATCTTTACGAGTAACTTCTTCCTTCCGAATAGCTTTCTCAATACAATCTATAAAAACAGTTTCTATGGCACATCACTGAAAAATCGTGTGAACTTCATCGTGTTTTCAGCTTCTGCAAGCCATGCCTTGATGATCACCGATGTCTATTCGTCAGCAATCCGGCAGGGGATGCAGGTACGTGTTTGCCGAAGATCGAGGCAAACGCGAATCGAAGTGTCTATCCTCCGGACTGGATTCCTGAGGACAGAATATGTCCCGTGGCGGGAAATTTGGGTTGGATCACTTTCGCAGGCCTTGCTTTATATCTCATTTCCTTTGCGCCAGGTAGGTGACCGAACCTTAATTTCTGCGACAGTTTAATGGGTAACATTTTTGCGCTCCTTATCTTAGGGACACGCTGTGGTATAGGTTCGAACCCGGCCATAGACGAGAACTTCGTTTCGTGCTAGGAGCTAGCCGTTTGACAAGGTGCCTAACGGTGATAGCGAACATAAAACTCTAAATGTAAAAATGATCTAATCTTGGATAGGCTAAGCAAATGATTGTATAAGATAATTCATGAGGATCTGATATTTAATTTCAGCTTTAATGAGAAATGTGTGAATATTCTTAGGGTAAAATTCGAAATGTAACTGTTCCTTCATAAATCAATATACCAGGCAATACTAACAATTGATATGCTTGTCTAAAAAATACTGGAATATTAAAGTATTAACAGAGTAGGTCAACGTTACAGGAGCTCAAGAGAGGAGAGTAATGTATCACACAATTTCCTTATACGTTTCTGTATTAGAAATAAGAAAAATTACTTCGGTCTAGTAAAACCAAATTCTGATCACGTAATGTAAATGCATCTTATTTAGAAAATAGAGTATATATATATATATATACAACGAAACAAAAGGAACTATATAAAATATTGAAAGGGCACACGGTACCAACCTTGTGCATCACCAGGCAATGGCCAACATCATGGGTTTGTATCACTGTGTACTAAAATCATTTCTTCTTCTAGGGTAACGCATTATTTACCTATTGTTCCACATGCATACGAATAAAATACTGCTTCGGCGTCACAGTTATTATATTTTTGAAATAACGATAAATATCGGTATAATTATCATGGTTGTTTTTTGTTCAACGTAAATGGCCGCTAATTGTTGTTTTTAATACTTAAGGCCGAAGCACTGGGAGCAGGTGCTCCCCAGGATGAAATTATCCAAGCTCAGCTAAATAAGCCTAGGTTGTCGATGATCCGCCCACTAAACGGCAGGCAAACAACCTCGTTTTCTAATAAGCAGGTGGCATCTGCTCAGCAGTATTAATGCTCTTTGGCCCGATTCAATTGCACGCTCGTTCCATAGTTTTCATGGCTCTTTCCCACAGCTATACGCAGGCTTCCTTTGTTTCTATCTCCCAAACATGTATTATTTCAAGACATAATAAAATGAAAAAAAAAAAAAAAACGGGTAGAATCCATTATATAGCCATGACACTCTTAATGGCAATGCCAACGTTCAGCCCACACACAGGTGTACAATGATTCCATTTAGAGGAGAAGGATGTATTCGTTTGAAAAATGATCGCAAATAGCTTACGGCAGTAATTTTTTTTCATTTCACGATATATTGTATCCTTTTCATATGCTTTTTTTTTTTATCGTTTTCTGGAGTAAAACGTTTAACTAAAAAGTTTATGTTTAACTCAATAACAACACAGCGGAAATTATAAAAAGCGACAGAAAGCTTTTCACGAATTCAACCGGCCGTCATGCTCAATGAAATGGCCTGAATACTCTCTGACGCTGAGTTTTCGATCACTTTTTTTTTATTTGGAAATATTAAATACCTTTTGTGCGGCTGCGTGTACATTTATTTTCAGTACTAACAATAGCTGAAGCATTAAAAATAAAACAGGGCTGGCGCCATCTGTAGTTACTCGTATAGCAGTACATGTTCGTTATGTACAAACGTGGCACTATGAACAAACTTCTTCAACACTATAAGTTATATATTCAGCTATATTTACAAGTTACGTTTTTTCTCTGATGTTGTAATAGTATTGCTGATTAGTAAAACATTAACCTGCATTAAATGTACCAGGTGTTTCTTGACAGCAGCAGATAAATACTTATTTCTGAATAGAGTAAAGCAAACGAAAAGCAGTAACTGCTACTTATGGGAACATAATTAAAAGAGAACGAGACGCCGGTATCTTAATCGTATTGTACACGCACTGTGCAGCTTGTATCCTGCATTTGTTTGTTCAATATTACCAAGAAGCGCTGCTGAGGACATCCCCTGAAGCGTTCAGCAATTCGCTTTTAAGAAACGTACTTTATTGTCAAGCTGACCTCGGCCTACCAAACAGCCAGGCATTAAAATGTTTTACTAAGCATCCAATGTGTCTTTAGATCGTAATCTAAGACTTCAATATCAAAATCCGCGTGCGTATTACTTATGACGCTATTTTTAATCTCTTTTATGTCTAAAAAACGTAATAACTCTTAAAACCACTAGGTACAGCTGCACTAGACGCGGATAATTGAAAAAAATACATTTTTACATAAAGCGGACGTGTTTCCTTTTCCCGCGTATTTTCCCTGATATCCCAAGGGCTGCCACCACGCATCCAATGACCAGGCCATTTTTAGGTCTCTGCTTACTTGTTTGGTTGCAAGCATGACGTATTCCTCCTTTGTGATAGTCAATACATTGAACGATTTCTTCCAGTCCTTTTGATCTAGTCATTGATATAACTTATCCTTTTTGAGAGCCGCTTTTTCATCGTTGTAAGTCCTCTTGCTCTTTTCATTCTGCCTTTCTTGGAACTACCTCCCGCCTCCTTCCTTCCAAAAGCACTTTTCTAACCTCCTCTCGGTTTTCAGTGTTTTTCAATTTTCAGTCTGTCGATATTTCCTGTGCTTGTTCTTTGTGAAAGAAATTCGTTTAAATGAACCTCATGACGTGCTTGCCAACCTGTCTATAGGCGGAATATGGATTCTGGCACGTTCTGAAGAGTAACACCTTACCAAGGAAGCTACTTTCTTATTCAACGGCATTAAGAGAGCTTTGAAGATATTGTGGGTCATAATTAGGGCATAAGAAAAAGACTTAGTTGAAGTCGTTGTAGGAAGGTGCGAAAACCACAAAAAAAGAATTCTGACATCGTGCGGCGACGTCTGTGTACGCCTAAGCCCTTGCTGGCAGTAGCGGTATCTTTAGATAAAGGCATGAAAATATTCCGGTAAGCGTGGCTTCATATCATTGTTTACCGGACCTCTTTACCCATCGGAAACGCGAAGACTGGGTATAACAAAACGATTAAAATATATACAAAATGCACAGCAGTGACACAAAGGTTTTCGCAAATTCTATTCTGATAGCAACAAAATCCAATTTTATTATTATTATTATTATTCATTATCATTATTTATAATCAATTATGTAAATTTAAGCAAAACTTGGCAACCATCTACCATAAAGAAAGTGAATATTTTGGGTTAAGGCCAGCTTCTAACGAAGTATTCGTGTCTTCTGGAGCATATATTGTCACAAACAGATTGTCTTCAATGGGTTTTTTTCACTTCCTTTTAAATACTATTGAAAAATTTTACCAAAATTTGCTCACTGGAAATTATTGAAGTGATAGAGCAACAGTAGCGATAGCCATCATTCCGTTAATTAACTGCGATGTTTCATTCAACATTGCTTTTATTGTACTGTTGTACTACTCAACACTCGTACAACAAACAAAGAGAATTAATACAGTCATAATAGCATTTCGATGTTAAATTTCCGTGTACTTTGACAATAACTTCATCCATACACGTCGTGTAGGATGTGACGTCGATAGGACTTCGTATAACGACTCTCGGCCTGTTTCAACCAGCTTGAGGAATAATATATCTGTGCGTATTTTGCACCAGTGTTAGGTAAAATGTATACTTGGATATAAAAGATGTTTTTTCAGTTATAATTAGATTCTGAATTCCTTTAAAAATATCGTATTTATCAAATGACCAGAATAGACTTCTCTTCTTAATTTTATCTTATAAACTATTTTTTTTCGAAGCGAATGTACGTCATTCAGTATGACCGATTCAGCTTGCTTAAAATGGTCGTCCTAAGTACTTCGGTGTTACCAATGAGCTCTAGCTCAATTGCAGGTAGCTTTGTTTTCTACCTCACAGCTCAACCCGACGTGCCCTTCAGTTTCGCCGATTCTGGTCTTAGCATCGAACATAGATTAGCTTTCCCAGAAGAGTTTTCTTGATCCCTTGCGCAGACGCGGGGTGGACCGCTGCCTAGCTAGAACATGCGAAAAGGAGTAGCCGATTTGGGCAGCGGCCCATGATGCTGGCTCCAAGAAGACGCAACAAATCGGACTTAGGCTGCAGGTGCCAGTTGCTCGGCCAGTTCCTTGGCCCCAATTATCCTCATGAAATCTCTTAAAAGTGTGGCTTAGACGAGACCTTAACAGGTCTGTGGAGACTGTGGACGAATGTCAAGAGAAAGGCGGCCGCTACCGTTGCCAGCAAAAATCTTTTTGTGCGCAACCCATAGTTGGGTTGACAAGGAAAAGATTTTCTATTGTGTTCCTGTAACTGACGGTAATTAAAATATTGCTCCCTAGAACATAAAGTTTATATGGATATATATATATATATAGATATATATATATATATATATATGGCATATACTTGCTTATTAAGCGCTTATGGCTGGTTCTATAAATCAGCGTTAAAGTCTACAAAGGCCTCGTCACTGAACAGCGAGGTTAACTTTCCAGTTAAACAAAAGATTGTTTAAAAAAACTCACTGGAGCTACCCTATGCAGGGACAAAGAGCCTACTTATACAGTTGAAGTATCATCACTCGAGCCACGACAACTATGCCATACTGCCATAAATCGTTATTTACCAATAATACAATTTCCTCAGTGCTCGTGTTTGCATTAGCAAGGCTTTGTACCTGACCTTAGCTATTCCGTCGTCCTATCCCACGCTATTTCGTCTTGCCTGTGTCCTTGATCTAAATCAGCGCTGGGCCTGCTCAGGCATGCAAGAGTAAAGCCTAGTTTGAGGGGCTCGTTTTACTATCGCTACATCTGAGAATACGATTCGCCCAACCACCAACCGATCAAAACTTAACTTACTATTCTTGACAAAATCTTGTTACATGTTTCCACATGCTCAAGATCCCATTCTTTTTGGTCTTCTTTTAATTTTTTTTTTATTTACTGTAACTGTTCATTGCAAAGCTGTTTTAGCAGCTTGCTTCTAATTTTCCTTGTAGCATTATCCTAGCCGTTGGCTGCGGTCC